CCTCCTCATTTCTGATTTTGTCAACCCAGCTTATATGTAACAGCCGCCTGTAAATCCACATTTCAAATGCTTTTTTATAAGTAAATAAAAAAGATGACATATAGTCATGGTACACTTTCTACTTCTGAACTATTTAGATACTCTATGTCCCATTATAAACATTGTCTTCTACTCGTTACACAACTTCTTAAACTGGCAGATCAGGTACATTTATTTTTTAAAGGATAGCCACAATTTATTATACTCTGCACTCAAACGCTTTTGAAGACTCAGTTAAGCAACAACAACAGATCTTTTTTTGAAACTGCGTTGCCTTTTCTATTATCCACCAGATGCCAACAACGTGATCTCTTGTTGTCTCTCATCTTCTGAATCCACCTTTTTACACCTGCCAGTTCGTGTTCCACGTCCTGCTGAAGCCCTAGGTTGCAAAATCTTGAAATAAGCATGAAAGGGTATGAAATAAGTGCAATTACTTGGTAATGTGAGCATTGTTTATCGCCGCTGTATTTTGCATATCCACTTAGAACTGAAGCTCCCACGTTCGTTGCATCACCTTGCAAGCGTTTTTTTACCAGGGATTTCATTTCACCAACTCCACTAGTTCTCTTGCCAGCCATATTCGAGGGGCAAAGAGAGCAATCCCCGATTAAGCCCTTAAAGCTCGGAAACTCCGGCCTGCCAATCGCCCAGCGCGCGTCCCTTTTATATTAAGAAGCAACCACTTTCTTGGCCGCGGGGGGGGGAGCGGTCGTCGGAAAGAAGAGGGCAAGTAGTTAAAGAGAATTAAAGTCGCAAAGTCACTGAGAATTAGAGTCGGAGTAGGAAAGGAGTGGGGATTATGACTTTTATTACGGAAAAGAGAAGCGCCGGCCTTCCAAGCCTGAAACTTGGAATGGTTTAGCCCCCATCCCCTAGCAACCCTCGCGGGCGTCCTGGAACTTGGAGACCGAGCGGTTGGCCCGGCTTAGGAAGGGAAGCCCGCAGGCTCGGTGGGTATCGGCGGGACTGGCGGCGCTGGGAAGGCGGCGGGGTGGGGATGGGGATGGGGGTGGTGTCGTTTCTGGCGGTGGGGCTCAGCTGCTGTGAAGCTCCGTCCGAAAGTCTTAGAGCAGCCTTCCGAAATCGGTCGCCCAGCCGGTCTATGGGGTCAGGAGGGCAGCCCGGCCGTTGGCCAGTCTGGGTGGACGTTGTAGCGGGGTGTCTTGAAGTGGGGGGGGGCAGCCCCACTGGAGGGCAGAGTGGGAAGCGGGACAGGCCGCTTCAAGGCTCTCTCGGGTCTGTGGTTTCTCTGGGTCACGGAGCCTAGACCTAACAGAGTTGAGCAGTCGGGCAATTCAGAAGAATAGAAATAGAAATAATAGAAATAGAATTCTTTATTTGCCAAGTGTAATTGGACACACGAGGAATTTGTCTTTGTTGCATATACTCCCAGTGTACATAAGACAAGATACATTCCTCAAGAATCATAAGATACAACACTTAATGATAGTCAAAGGGTACAAATAAGCAATCAGAAAACAATCAATATCAATATAAATGGTAAGGATACAAGCAACGAAGTTACAGTCATACAGTCATAAAGTGGGAGGAGATGGGTGAGAGGAATGATGAGAAGACTAATAGTAATAGTAATGCAGCCTTAGTAAATGGTTTGACTGTGGTGAGGGAATTATTTGTTTAGATAGTCATCAACTTAATGACAATCCATTTAATGACCCTTTGAAGTTACAGCAGCATTGAAAAAAAGTGGCATGTGGCCATTTTTCACACTTACAATCCTTGTAGCATCCCCATGGCCGTGTGATCAAAATTGGGGTTCTTGGCAACTGACTCCTACTTATAGCAATTGCAGTGTCCTGAGGTCACTGGGATCCTCTTTCTGACAAACAAAGTCAACGGGGAAGCCAAATTCATCCAATAAGCGTGTTACTAACTCAACAACTGCAGCGATTTACTTAACAACAGTGGCAAGCAATGTCTCAAAATGGGGTAAAACTCACAACAAATGTCTCGCTTAGCAACAGAAACTTTGGGCTCGGTTGTGGTGGTAAGTCGAGGACTACCTGTATGTGCCTGCAATAAATAAATAAGTAAACAATGGCTTGCTGAATAACGCACCGTGGGTTGGGTCTCCATCACGTGCTAAAGCATAGTTCACAAAGCACAAGGACCTGGTTCATTCAAGACACTAACCCACAAGCAAGTCAACTATATTGCGGTCCAATACGTTGTGAGACATTTTGTAAAGTTAGTATTATTCAGTACAAGCTAAAGTGAGAGCCCATGCAGAAAAGTTGCTCCTTCTTGAAACAGCTATTGTATGAGGATTTATTCAGTCACAAATCAAGTCACATTAAAGGAAGGATCTGGCAAGTAGTGCCCCAAAGGTGTGGTCCAAAGCAGAGTAGGGCCAAGTCAACATATGGTTGGCAGAGCTCAGAATCACAACTGTTGCTATCAATTCTAGGCAGAAGAAAATTCAGAATTTTCAGAAAGTATTGGTCCAGTGTGGTTTGGGGCATTATATCACCGTCTTTCAAGAAGGAACTAACTTCAAAACCTGGGGGGCAGGAAAACCTTTGTATAGATTCACTTGGTGTGCCAAGAGGTTTTTCAAATAGTCACTTGTTGGTAATTTTGTGTGCAGACTGTTGCCTATGCTGCACATGGGGCTTCCCTTGAAAATTGGTCCAAAGCTGCTGCTGGGCAATAATGGACATGTGACAATATACTCATGGAACATCTTTATTTTATGAGCTTCACTGCTTTCCAGGTGGTTTCTGGGTATAGTGGTATGTGGGGATGACTTTAGAAGATAAGAGGAAGAGTCACAGACTTTTTAGACTTGCAAGACTCCATTTATGTAACCTTATAATAAAAGTAGAGTTAGTACTCATGATTTG